TTTGACGGGTGGTTGTGTTGGTTGTTTGGCTGCGGTGGTTTGTGGCTGGGGCGATGCGGAGAGACTTTTTCACTTTTTGTTAGCTGGGTGGGTTGCTTTGCTTGGATGAAGTTGTTGTATGTAGTTCTGGGGTGGTGGTCGATGGGGTGAGCACATACCATTGTGGTGGATTTGAGAGTGAGATTTAATAAACTATCGGTTGGGTATATCGAGACGGGAGAGATACCAGTGTCTATCGTATATGGTGGAGGAAGATGGGGAAGGTCAAGATGGAAGCAGAACTGAAAGCGCAGTGGAGGTTAGACAGATACCGAAGCTCTGACGATAGACCTGACAAGGCAACGGTAGGATAGCGCGTCCAACAGCTCCTCCGGTACACCCTAACCACCACCTCCGCAATTCCGATCCTCAGTAAGCAAGCCCATCACGTGAGAGATGTCGCAAATTGTCCCCGATCAATTATACCAGAACCTCCGAGAGAAAAGGAAAGGCAGCAACATCACCGCGCTTCTCACACACAATGCCGCCGTTCGTCTCCTCCCTCACCCTCCGCACGCTGCGGACCATCATCCAGCGTCCTGCGTTCACTGCTATCGCCGCCCCCAAGCCCTCATACTCCATCCCCCGGTTCCAGCCCGTCCTCCGCACACCCACGGCCGTCGCTGCCGCTACCACTCCCAGCCTTGCTATCCGCCAGTTCTCGACCTCCCCGTTCCGCCAGGCTACCTATAATCAAGTTCGTCGCGGATGCCGGGTTGCTCAGCGGGCGCGTCGTGCCCGGTCCCCGGCGCTGAAGGACAGGCCTGAGATGAAGGGTGTGTGTTTGAAGACGGGTATTACGAAGCCAAAGAAGCCCAACTCTGGTGAGAGGAAGACGGCAAGAGTACGGTTGAGTAGTGGCAAGGTGGTTACGGCTTATATTCCTGGTGAAGGTTTGTCTTCCTATATTGGTGGTGGTTTAGGGGCTTCGATGCTGACAACAGTGATTGTAGGCCATAACGTGCAGCAGCACAGTGTTGTTCTTGTTCGTGGTGGACGTGCTCAGGATTGTCCTGGTGTGAAGTATCATTTGGTCCGTGGTGCGATGGATTTGGTATGTTGTCCTTTGGTTATCTATTGGTAGATTGAGTGATGTGGGTGCTGACTCCTTGAAGGGTGGTGTTGCCAATCGGTTGACCAGCAGATCGAAATATGGAACTAAGAAGCCGAAGAGGGATTAATTGATTGAGGCTGGAGAGATACCCTGACTAGGCCGATGGGCGAGAAGCCGATGTTCAGATGCTTGTATTCTACTATCTACTTGGGTTTGTCAAACGAACTCTTATCGTCGTCATCGTTATAAAATAGCTATGTACATTTATGATGGAACTTTATATTGAACGGGTTATTTTCGCTTTTCCCTTAAGCCAAAACATAGTGTGGTAACTGCCCTGCTGTAACCTTAGCGCTTCATGAATATGCACAATCACTCCCTAAAAGCAAGTAAAGAAGATGATGAAATATCCTTATAATAAGACACATGACACCGCGGAAATACGAACATAAAGGCAAAAGAGGAAGAAGACGAGGGTCAAAATAGCCAAAGCCCAGCATCTACAGTTGGAACAAAATGGCCAGGTGGATCTTCTTATCGTTTAAGATAGGTCTCCCGCATGGCGGCGGTTCGCTCAAGTAGCGCAAGTCCGCCATGGACCACTCGTGCTCGAACCTTGTTACTGATTGCAAGGACAAGACCGCCAATAATGACTATCGCGAGCAAGACTTTTCCGAGAGCGGTTAGTCAGCTCTCATTCTCATAGCCCGCGGGCTTTTTCATGTTATTAACTTGGAAGAAGCGGGAAGTGCCTGGATAGAGGGATGTGTTAGTAGCCGTTCCCCAATACAAGTAAGCGTTGACTCACAGGAATAACCCTTCCAGTCGAAGTTGTCGCTGGGGTTGCAGTGGCACTTGAGATCCAGCCTCAATTGCTCGCCCGTCGGACAGTGGGTGAAGGGGACATGATAGTAGGCGATTTCATTGAAGAAGTGGACCTGTTGTTTTTCCAAGAGCAAACCAGCAGCAATAGAGTGCACTGGAGCATCACCCCATCTTTCATAGAAGAAGCCGCCATCGCGGTCAAGGGATTCGAAGTAATCCAGATATTCCTTGGATCTGAGCCATTCCAAGTGTCCGATTTCGAAATTCGACCACTGCTCACAAGATTCTCGTTAGTGAAGCCCACTCAAGTTTCAGTAAGCGAGGTACTTACGAAATGGCACTTGTTGTACGTTTTTCCACCGTCATCGCTCAAGAAGCCCATTGAGTTGTCCTTCGCGATGTGTTCAGGGTGATCGTTCATGAACTTTTTCACGCTATCCCAGAGGGTAGGAATAGTATCGAAGTATTCATATAGACTAAGAACAAAGCTGTACTTCTTGTTGTTTTCCTTCATAAATCGGAAAGGGTCGAAGCTGATGTCGCAGAACAATTCAATGCTGGGCTCCACACGCCAATAGTACTCGTAGTTCAGCATCAAAGGGTGCCGGAAGAAGAATCCAGATTCGTAACGGCACATGTGTCGGTAACTCTCGGAATCACCGTAGATAATTTTCCTTTGACCCATGTCCTCACGCACCTTTTTCGCCTTGTCTTGATCGATCCACTCAGGGTATGACCAATGTTCCTTTGGAATGACACCGTAGTGGGTGGTACCGGAAACCAGGGCCGTGGTGATCTTTTTGAATTCGTCATCGAATTCCTTGTCATTCAGGAATACCCAATCATAATGGTAGTTGCGATTAAAGCGATCTTCAACACTCCGAATTGACTTCGCAATATCCCAAACATCCGAATTGCGCGCCAATGTGACAAACGTCGCATTAGCCCGTGCACCCTGAGGGGTGCTCACGCTCTCCGAAGCACTGTTGGCATGTTCCTTCGGGGTAGCAGCATTGTCATGAGAGGCCTGGGCAGAGGCGGAGCTATCTTTGTAGCCGGCCGGGTTCAACTTCGAGCCGATGCTTTCGGGGATGGGAATTGCACTTCTGGAGAGGAAAAAGAAAACGGCCAAACCCTATATTGAAAGCATAGGTTAGATACTAGTATGAAACAGCGTGGGCAAGGAACCACTAACCGCGGCGGCGAAGAGAAGATATCGCACGTATTTCACCGGTCCCGATGACATGATTGTAAGATGCCCCTACCGTGCCAGACACGGGACTATCGAACAACCAGATGAGGTTTGAAAATGGATGCCTAGCCTTGTATACAGGAACGGGCAGGTCGGAAAGCAAGGGGTGATGTACCAGGATTAAACGAATGATGAGAACAGGCGAAGGGAAGCAGCCTTTAAGAAGGTCAAGAAATTAAGTGCCGTCAATTAGAGACAGAGCTGTAGAAGTGAGTCGTCTGGCTACAGGTTGACAGCCAGAGTGGCGATGAAGGCAACGGCTGAAGGCTAGCAATGAGACAAGGGAGAGACACTTTTCTGGAAGAAATTATTTATTCTCTAGTAAGAGAGGAAATTGCACGATCCCCACCCTTTGCAGGAAAACCGTCGGGGTCGCGAGCCAATATGCCGAGGAGTTAGTTTCACAAGGATACGAGGGAAAATTGGTTACATGAAGTAGGATCTTTTGTTCGCGATCATGATTTAGTTGGCAGTGGAATGGCAACGTAATGTACTCTACCATCATTGGCCAAGACTCTCTCCCCTATTAGGAGCTCCAAGAAGTGTGATTGTCCAGTTGAATAGACATTCTGGTCATTGCGGAGGAAAGTGTTACACGATCCTCAATGTGCTAGGCAGTAGAAAGAGGGATTTATTCTTTTAGATTTTGTAGTTAATACATATACATCGGTTGCTCACCCTGTGTGATATGTTTGAATGGGGCCATGGCGACTCTAAGGCGACGATCTATTCCTGCCCGGGGTTTGGGGCAGCAGCTGGGCTTAACGACAGTCAGATCAAACCTTTGGCGATGACGGCAATATCCAATAAGGTTTTACAGGGCCTTGCATTGACTAGGTATCAGAAGACCATAACAAACGGAGCATATACCTTGACAGCGGTTCTTCGAAACATTGATTCATTCCCCTTTTTTATTTGGAACAGGTATAGGGCGTTGCCTTAGGCAGCATCCCACTCCGGCACTAACCTGGAGTCGGTAAGCGGGTGATATCAGACCGGAAGTCGACTTCATCCCGCACTACATTTATGCGGCGGTAAATCTCGCTCCTCTGCTACCTCATCTCCCTGCATCCACGTCCCGCTGAAGATGTCCTTCTTCGGCTTTGATACGACCCTCCCGAGGGATCGAGCCCCCGGGGGTGGACAGAGGGGTATTTTTGATACTCCTGACCCGTTTGCCGAAGTCGCTCGCGCCAGGTTGGAGGGACATCATGACAATGATGATGATGTGTAAGACTGCCCATCTCGATGTCGCCTTCAGCCGACCAGAGGATCCGTGCAGCGAACTTGATATACTGACTGATGGTTTCTTGATCGGTCTGCAGAATTGATTTCGAGGATACGTATGATGGTCTGGGAGATCAACTCGACGACGATCAGGATGCGTTCAACGACGACACGTTCGGCGGGGACATGGGCACTAGCGCCGTCGGTAAGGACTTTGACTTCTTCGGAAAGACCGCTCAGGTTGCCGATGTCATTGGAGAGGAACAAGTCCGCTACAGCCTACAAAAGCCCCAGGCTCCTACTGCCGCCCCTGTCGCCGAGGTCCCCGTTGCAACAAGTACCGTGGCCCAGAAGCCCAAGCGCACCGGATACGAGAAGTATTCAGATCCGGATTATATTCCGGATCTTCAGGCCAAATCCAGCGTTTGGGGTCTACAGAAGAAGCCCGAGCCCGCGCCCGCGGTTCACCCGGTAGTCCAGCCGGTGGTTCAGCCGATGGTGCAGGCCAGGAAGATGCTCAGCCTGGAGGAAGTGGAAGCGCAGTTGCGTCACCAGGGCCCCGGGCCTGCCCCGGGTTTACCCCCAGTTTCTCTCCCCCACTCAATGGCAGAGGCACTCCATCATCTGCAGCGACCTCAGCAAATCCCTGGGTTTCCGGAAGGCTTCTCCCAGCTGCCTCCTGAATTCCTGCAGGCGCAGTTTGCTAAAGGTGTCCCACCTGCGCAGATGCTGCACCACCCATCGATGGTCCCTGAGCCATATCCTCCCCCCAACTTGCCATTGCATCTTCTGCAGAATGCCAATCTTCCTCCTCAGCACATGGTACACCCTCAGCATCAAGCTCCCCCACGCGGGCAGCGGACCCAGCCGCAGCAACAACAGCAGCAGCAACAGCAGCAACAGCAGCAACAACAGGCGCCGCCACCGATGCCCCAGAATGTGCCTCAGGGTCCCAGGGGAACGAATAGCAATCTGCCGTTGATCACGAACCCTCAGCAACTGATGCAGCTGACGGAAGAGCAGCGTGTAGCGTACTTGATGGAAGATGCAAAGCGCGCGAAACGCAACCACAAGATCTTCCTTCTCTCCAAGGGCAATGGGCTGATGACCCCCCAAGATAAGAACTTTATCACACGGATTCAGCTCCAGCAACTAGTAGCAGCTGCAGGTAACGTCGCAGACGCGGATTCGGAAGCTGTCTTGGCCGAGGACTTCTATTATCAAGTTTACAGCCAGATCCGAGGCGCACCCAGACAGCACCCGCATCAGCCACTTGGTCATTTTGCGCAAACATACCTTCTCCAGACGGGCAATCGGCTCGGCGGTCATGGATCCCGACGTCAGGCACAAAGTGCAGATAACCATATGCAGAGAATGCAGCAACAGGTCCAACGCGCAGTTGAAGCCGCCAAAGCCAAACCGAAGAACAAGCAACTTATCATCGAAGGAAGCTTGGGCAAGATCTCTTTTAGTAATGCGAAGACGCCCAAACCAATGCTCAATATCAAGCGCCCTGAGACTTCTGAGGGAGCCAAGGCGGTTAAGAAGCCACACACCGACCTCAGTCTGAGTGACCGGAAATCTATCTTGACCAATATCGAGAACGTATACGGCACATTGATGGAGTTAGAGGATATGGAGCGCACAATGCCTCCACCACCGAATGAAGAAGATGCGGAGGCAATCCAAGAACACATGGAATGGCGACAGAAGGTTCGCTCTCTCAATCAGAAGTTGTGGCAGGCGCTCAAGGTTATGGAGCCCATTGTTCCCAACACGAACACTCCACACCCCTTCATTGCATTCCTTTCGTACCCTAAGGGCAAAAAGGCCATTCCACGCATCTTCCGTCATATTGATCAGGAGCAGCGGGTTACCATCCTTACTATGATTGTTGTGCATCTGGATAGCTTGGACGTGGTTCGGCAGGGACAGCCGGCGCCTGGTGAATCACAGCCTTCTCTAGCCGTGAGGGAAGCCATCGATCTCTTCTCGCAAGCGGTCATGCCTAGTCTTCTGGGTTACGTTAACGAAGCCCCGTTCAACATCATTATTGGTCTCTTGGGCCTGGTCATCGCGCAAACTCATGTACACATGGTCGCCAAGACTCGTATTGGGCTGGGTATCTTGACCATGCTTCTCAGCCGTGCCGAGATCGTGAAGGAAGCCGGACAGGCCGCCGAACGGGACTGGCAACAGTGGGTGGACAAGTTCAACGTCTTGTTTGATACCCTTGAACCTACTTTTGGAGACATCTTCCCTGGCTCTATCAATGCAGGCGACGATATGTATGTGTGGCAATTCTTGGCTGCGGTCGGTATTGGAGCTAGCCCCGAGCAACAACAGCGCTTGGTCATCGCAGTGAAGTAAGTCAACTCTTGTCGAATTCTACCCAATAGCCTCTGTCCTACTTGCGTGTATAGAATCCTCCAGGGAGCAATGCTAACAGTACTATAGGGATCGTGTCATGGAAACAGTGGCATATAGCAAGACTCTTCCTGCGGACATGGCTAGCCAACGACTTGGAAATGTCAACCTCTTCATGCGTGCCATTGGTCTCGACGTTGAACTTCTCGGCTAGAGGGAACATATCCCTGCATACCTATCAACCATGGAGCGCTAGTGCTTCTAGGGCACATCAGAGACACGACTCGATGCGAAAGAAGGCATATCGTTGAAAGTCATCAACCGGTGCTTGAGCCAGCCTGGGTGGGACTCTGTCAACTCAGACGTGAGCTCCTACCACGGGTTTTCCATTCGTAGCTTGTGGACTCGGATTGGAGGAGTGGATGACCGGTCGAAGGAAGATTTACCCTTTGGCTGAAAAACCGAAGGACCATGACGCCGTTTGGTCAAATGAAGGACGTGAAAGGACTACGGCCAAATAAATGGCAATTTGATGACACTAGTAATTGTGAGCGAAAGGGCATTCGACGACAGGATGTTCTTAGATGAAATTATCTCTACGGTCTATCGCGGCAATGCCGGATATCCATTTTTGTTTTTATTCTTTGAATGTATATTTCTTTTTCAGTCCAACCCCATATCAGCAGACAAAAAAAGGGTAAAAGTTCGAATGCAAGCCTTGAGCGGTGCCATCGTCAGAAAGCCGAAGAAGTCACTCGGGTAATACCTAGCATCTATGATAGTATGAGAGGTGGGATTGTGAATGTGTTCTAAGAATGATGTCTTGAAAAGTGTGCGGTCTAAGTATGTAATGTAGTGTTTCGGAGTGATTTGAGGATATAGAGTGTCTATAAATCTATCTATACTATAGTGGAGGATGGCATAAGGACTAGTGGATGAATAACTTCATGTCGTTGCTGAACCGGAACCGACAGGATCTGAAAATGTCTCACCTTCTCTAATATTGACAACATTTTCTAGGCAAGGTCCAGGACGAACAGATCGGTCAACACTCGGCGCGAACCTCGAATTTCAATACCTTATAATTGACTGATATTAACCGGATGGACCCTTGGATCACTTCGTATGGGCCAGTTTAGTCCACCGACAGAGTGGAACTTGACCCGCTCGGCGTTGAACCACTGGATAAAAGAGAGGAGAGGTCCAGAAACATCTGGCCGATAGGTTTCCTTCGGATTCGCTCGTTCCATCTTCGAAGAACTCCAGAACCCAGATGCCAGATATTATCCGACAAGGCAACCCGATAGCCTTGCCGAATGGCCCGTTCTTAACCGGGGAAGGCCCCTAATGTGTTGTTGCCGTGCCCGATCGAATGATGCCGAGTGAACACCAGATGGGGTGATATGGGGTGACGCTCAGCTTTCCCATAGGGTTCGATTGACGCATGGGCGGTCTCACGGCTTACCGGAGTTTGTTCGATGTGTAGACTCTGCGACTAAACCTATTTTACGTATACGCAAGTATAATTAAGGACATGGGGCCTGCCCGTCAGTGGAAGGTGGGATGAATAGGCGGGTGGATGTAAGCACGTGTGGAAAATAAACGGTACGCACGCCATACCACCTGTAAAATTGAAGGGTCGATCGTCACCCAAGAAGGTTGTTAGAGCTTGAAGATGAATTACGTGGTGCTTGGGGACTCGACCGCAGATCGTCCAGGAAGGCAAATTAAAGATGATCAATAGGGGGGTTTTCATTAGATGAAAGAATTTCAGAAAAGAGAAAAATTTCATCCATTGGGCACTCCCTAAAACACATTTGATACTGTCTATAGGGATGAAGAGCACGGAGTATGTACATACAATATAGGTAGAGGAGAGAAAGAGAGACTGACCAAAATTACATGTTGCGGTACCTTACGGACGGTGAACCTGATGCGTCCTCTGAAGTAAGTTGAGAAATGAAATCCACCCGAACGCATGCCCCTCCGCAATTGTCCTCCTCCCCCACCAATCCCGATTGCGGTGCCCCTTAAATATCCCGTGGCTGCCAGCGCTCGTCGTGTTTGTGTTTCTTTCTTTTCCTTCTTTTCCTCTCCAGACAATCCTTCCACTCTAATCACTCTTTCTACCTGCTTCTACTCTTGTCTTCATTCGCATCTGTCATCATGCCTTCCGGTTCGGTTCTTGTCACTGGGTAAGCTACCGCACCTTGATCGGGATAGTATACCCCACCATAGGCTCAATGTACTGACGGCGCAATCATACAGTGGAACGGGCTACATTGGCTCTTTCACCGCCCTTGCTCTCCTTGAGGCTGGCTACAAGGTCGTCGTCGCTGACAACCTCTACAACTCCTCCGCCGAGGCTCTTCGCCGCATTGAGTTGATCTCCGGCAAGAAAGCTGAGTTCGCTAAGGTCGATGTCACCGACGAGGGCGCTTTCGACAAGGTTTTCGAGGCTCACCCCGACATTGACAGCGTCATTCACTTCGCTGCCCTGAAGGTGTGCTTGTCCAATGCCACGTATTTACCCCGCTTACTTACACCTGCGCTTGGGAATGTAGGCCGTCGGCGAGTCTGGTGAGAAGCCTCTGGACTACTATCATGTCAACGTTTACGGAACTCTCAACCTCCTGCGCTCCATGGTCCGCCACAATGTCTACAACATTGTCTTCTCCAGCTCGGCCACCGTCTATGGTGATGCCACCCGCTTCCCCAACATGATCCCCATCCCCGAGGAGTGCCCTTTGGGCCCCACCAACCCTTACGGTAACACCAAATTTGCCATCGAGAACGCCATCATCGATGTCATCACGCCCAGCGTAACAACGCCGCCAAGGCCGGAAACCAGGAAGAGAGCCAGAAGTGGAACGGTGCTCTGCTGCGTTACTTCAACCCCGCTGGTGCTCACCCCAGTGGCATCATGGGTGAGGATCCTCAGGGTGTTCCTTACAACCTGCTGCCCCTTCTTGCCCAGGTTGCTACTGGCAAGCGCGAGAAGCTCCTCGTCTTCGGTGATGGTAAGTGTCTCTATTACCCTTCAGATCCAGAAGAAAACCGTCATGACTGACTTGTGTGATATTAGACTACAAGTCCCATGATGGCACTGCCATCCGTGACTACATTCACATCCTCGACCTTGCTGATGGTCACCTGAAGGCTCTTAACTACCTGCGCTCGAACAACCCCGGTGTCCGTGCCTGGAACTTGGGTACCGGCAGGGGCAGCACTGTCTACGAGATGATTCGTTCCTTCTCCGCCGCTGTTGGTCGCGATCTCCCCTACGAGGTTGCTCCCCGCCGTGCTGGTGACGTCCTTAACCTCACCGCCAACCCCACCCGCGCCAACAATGAGCTTGGCTGGAAGGCTGAGCGCACTCTCGAGCAGGCTTGCGAGGACCTCTGGCGCTGGACCAAGAACAACCCTCAGGGCTACCGCCAGGAGCCCCCTGCTGAGCTGCTGGAACAGCTGAAGAAATAAATTACTTTAATCTATGGAAATGATCTACCGGTGGATGCTAGGATCTATGATACGAAGGTGGATGGACCAACGAAGTCGCCCCTCGAATAGACACAAAAGCCCTGTAGATTGGATGACACGAATTTCTTTTCTTGTTTCTTTTGTTGAGCCACATATATCAGTGCTTAACTGAATAATTTGCTATTATGTGCTTCTGCATGATTTCAAAAACACATCACAAGTACAGTCATAGATATAGAAGGCATGAAAATTACAGATTGCATTGCTTTTTGAAGCTCTATCAATTCTTTTGTTTCAACCAATTTTAGTGTACAGTCTATTTGTTAGCTTTCCGGCTCCTTCGCGATCCTGGGGTCTGCTCTTTTGGTGCAGGCTTAGAACTGGAAGAGCCATTCTTCTTCTGGTTTTCCTTCTCCTGTTGCTCCTTGTTGGCCAGTGCCCTTTTCACGGCACTTTCCTTCTCCTTGAGTTCAATTTGCGCTTCGCTGAATTGCCACAGCAGTTTCCCAGCCTCTTCATCCTTGATATCTTTGCGAGCGAAATCCACCTCCTGACACTCCTTGACCATCCATCCACCGGTGCCACGGCCGTATCTGGCCTCCATAGCAGCGTACAGAATACTCTGGGCGCCCTGCTGCGGTGACTTCAGGACCAACCACCATAGAGGCCAGGTGATGAGATAAAGAAGCAGCCCCCAAAGCGACCCACCCGTCAACCAGCGGCGGGTACCCGGAGTGCGGCTAAAGCCAGGGTCAACAACAATCACACGCGTACACGGAGGCATCTTATCGGGACGCTCATAAGCATTCAAATGTTTCTGAAAGGACTGGGCGAAAGACATCAACGCAAGCTTGCTCGCTCCGAAAAGGTTGGGTTTGGATTTCTTCGACCCAGCCCCTGCCTTTTTTACATTCTTCCCATTTTTCGTTCCCCGTGGCTCGTTGGTGTCAGGTGTACAAGCTGCCTCTATCTGCTTAGGGTCGATTTTGGCACCAATGTAGCTCGAACATGTCGTGAAAATGACCCGCACGTCACGGTGGGGTGGCTGGGCCCGCAGCGCCGGGCTGAGGATGCTCAACAAGTGGAAATTGGCGAGGTAGTTGACCTGCCATTCTTCGTCGATTCCATCTACGGTCAGCTTTCGGCTGGCGGATGAAGGCGCGGCCGTGTTTCCACACAGGATGATCATGTCCAGTCGGCGTGGGGGGACGTTATCGATCCATTTCGTCGCGAACGTGCGGATTGAGTGCAGTGAGGACAAATCCACCTGCTCGGCGTAGATGAGTTGATTCTTCGTTGATTTTCGGAGATCCTCGATGTAGTCAACCAGGAAGACGTCCGAGGGAGCATGCTGTGTGAGGAGGATGACCTGGGCACCGCGCGAGGCAAGTTCGTGGACGACGCTGGCTCCTATCCCTGATGTTCCGCCCTAGAGAAACCTGTATTAGATTTTCCGCCTCCATTCCAACAGAAGCCAGCCAAAACACATAGAGCATACCGTAACCATCACAACCTTAGAATGCATCAACCGCTCCGATCCATTTCGGGCACCCCCGAAATAATACTTCAAAGCAGCAACCAACAGGACCCACGGCACGATCTTCAAAACTGTCCACGCATAAGGGATAGAGGAGATACCCTCCTGGAAACCCTGAGCAATCAAGGGAATAGGCATTGTGCGATGGTCAAATCCGCATCCAAACAAACAAGGGCAGGTACCGAACAAGTGGGAAGGAACAATCCAATTATGGACAGAAAGGCTGCTACTAAACATAGGATCAACTGCAGGGCCCAGACCACAAATAAGCTCACCGCCCAGTCTACCGCCATCTGCTTCGTCAGCGGGCATGGACCCACTTAGCTAGTGCGTCGATAAATTAGAATAACGGCCGCAAACAATTAAGTCATGGAATTCAGGACATCGACCTCCCCCGAAACAAGACATGACCTCCAACGAAGCCACCGACGAAGATTACTTCCTCCCGGTAGAAAGCCAACGGCCCTTCGGCGCCGGAATCCGTCGCAAGAAAGTCCAGTTCGTGCGGTCTTCGGAACATGAGCTTAATACTACCTCTACGCCGGCAGCGCAACCTGCCTCCTCGGGAACCAGTATAGCGAATACGTATCTGTCGATTGTTATGCCGAAAGAGAAACAGGTTTCGGAGCCTGGTACGCCCGTTGGGCGTGTGTCTGGGGACGTGGGAAACTGTGATGCGGAGGTGCAGTCGGCCCCGGCTTCGCCTTCTGCCGCTCCTCGCTGCGACGTATGTAATCTTCCGATTGACGGGGATGAGTCGGCACATGGGGCTGTGATGGCGGGTGACCGGCCGCATGAGGCGTCGCTGGCGCATCAGGTGTGCCTATCGCATTCGCATCCGCCGTCGCATTTGGATCGGACGAGGCAGGGGTTGAGGTATTTGGCTGCTTATGGGTGGGATCCAGATAGCCGGTTGGGATTGGGGGTTTCTGGGCGAGAGGGGATTCGGGAGCCGTTGAAGGGGCGCTTGAAGGTTGATACTGTTGGTTTGGGGGCTGAGGGTGATGATGAGGCGAAGGGGGGTGGTAAGGGTAAGAGTCGGGTGGTTGAGAGGCCGGCTAAGGTGCAGAAATTGAATGCAAAGGAGGTAAGGAAGGGATACTTGGATGCCAGGAAGAGGGGGGAGAAGTTGCGGGAACAGTTTTTCCAAAGTGATGACGTTTTGAAGTATCTTGGGCAGTAGCGGTTAGGATGGGTTTGGCGTTTGGCGTGATTCAAAGATACCCTTTTATATTTATATCTTTTTCTTTACATAGATATGCTGGATTTAAACGCTGGAGAGTATGCTTCAGAGGGTACATGCATTAACTACATACAGGGACAGAAGATTATATCAAAAAGAAGACAGAACAGGATACAAGAAAATATCCATTTAGCGCCGTGGCGCCTTCGGTGCTCAAATAAAACCCGAGAGATTGGTATCACAGACGCTGTAGTAGAAAGACATAGGTATAGGCTTCAAACGGCTATAGCCGCCGGTAGTCAAGGAGTAATATTCTCCTTGAAGTAATTCTGAGAGAAACTGAAGGCACTATGATCGCCTGAAGAAGTGATGCTTCTTTTCCTTCTTCTCCTTATGTGGCTTTGCATTGCTAGGTGCAGGTGCTGCACCATTCTGAGAATTGGACCCCAGGGACATGGCCCCCATAGCGGCCGAAGGAGGCGCCGGAGGGTTGAGCTTCGGGGCTGGGACCTTCTTAGGCACTGGTTGAGGCTGAGGTGGAGGATCTCTTTCGAACAAATGGGCCGGTGCCGTTGGTTTTGGCCGTTCGGCTGGGATGTCTAGGCGTCTTCTGTCGGCACTGAGATCCCCAAGCTGCTTCAGGAACAAACCAGGGCTCAGCATATGTGACGTTGCAAGGAAAACATCCTTGTTAAACGCTTGAGAGACCTCGTAGCAGGAACGAGCTTCGCCATAAGTTGCACCACCAGCCATGAAGACAATGATGCGTTGTCGGGGCTGCTCTGTGGCTGAACGGGTCCGAGCCCAAGTCGGTTTGGCGCTCCGCAGAGAGGCTTGTGAGAGGGTATCCTGGGGCCCTCCCATGCCCTCTGCCTCAGTATTTGGTCGAGTGGGAGGAAAAACCGCTGGGTCCAAAGTTCCTCGAACCAACTCCTCGAGCATCAACTTCATGTTCAGTTCATATCTTGACAAACTAGTTTCATCAGATTCTGCGGGCGATGGAGGCTTTCTGTGGAACAGCGGCTGGACAGGTGGCTTCTCATCTTTCAACTGCTTCTCTACTCTGGAACCAAGTAAATCCAGGTTGGAGATAACGTCACCATCTTGCGGTGGAAGTTGAGCGTGCGCCATAAGCTTCCTGATATCTCCAGGAAGAATCCCACCTCTGTACATGATGTAGAGAAGTAGAAGCCGAAGTCTATCCTGATGGTCCACTGCATCATCATCAAGTAGCTGAACGAGCTGTGAAGCCAAGTTCTTCGCCTTTTTGTAGTTCTCGTCTAGCCCGGTCGACAAGCATTGTTCAACGGAGCTTACCTCCAATAGCTTGTGCTCCTGAAAGTGTTTCATGCATTCTTGCGCCATGTTAAGATGGAGCGTATATGCATCCCTACCCTGTTGGAACTCTGTGAGACCAGCTAACATGTCTTTGATTGTGTTCACGTTGGCTTTGTCATTTCTATTGGAAAATTAGCAAAGGAGATCCACGGCTACGGGATCTCACGACAGCGAGGACTCACTCTTCAGCGAATTGAGGGTTGGCTGCCCGAAATTTGGCAAAGTCTTCACCCAACTTTCCAAGCACATCCTTCATATGAAGATGTCTGTAGTCAACCCAGACGTTATCATTCTCGGAGATCTCCATCTCCTTAAGTTCTTCATTATGGCTACCTTCGTTTATAATTGTTTTGTAAGTGACCTTGTCCCCGTCTTTTATCGGTAGCAAGTCATGCACCATAGATTGGTACGTAAATTCGTGGATAAGTGGAGCAACAATGTCCATAGAGCGATCCACCACCAGAAGCACGCCTCGAGGTCTCTGGGAAGGGGGCGGGAAGTCCTTTTGAAAGTGGGCAAATTGATCTAGCTCATTTTGTATAAATCGGGCAAGGTGCGAGCACATAACACTAGCTTCGTGGGTTGGCGCTCTAGGCTTGTAGTATCGAATCACGGGGTACTCTCCTAAGCTCGCACAAAGAGATACAATCTGGAGTTCCGGTCAGTGGTCGACTCGAATGACACCACATCAAAAAATATATATAATAAATAAAAGTATCGTACCTTCTGTGCCAGCCCTTCCAGATGGCCGCGAATCAAGTGGTTGCAACCAGGGTGAAACAACACGGGAAAACTCCACGGATCTCGGAACGTGACAAGACGCGATTCCCTCGGAAAGTAGTCGGCACTCATAACGCGGAAGCTAGCAATTTGTTCTTGGGCTATTTGAGATCGCTCGAGTCTAGTGCGCTGTTGGGGGTCGAGATCTATAGGCGAGGTTAGGACTCAACTCGCGGGCGTAGAAAAGGGGTTGTGACCGACATGACGTCCAAACCAACCAGCCTTTTTGTATCGCTTTCGCTCAAAGTCGGCCATTAGGCAATCGACGATATGTGACTGGGGCGATAGGATATACAGCGCATCCATAGGGTTGGATTTCCGCTTTTCCTCGATCTGCTCGACATCTTGCAAGAAAGATCATTAGCCGATGCGATTCTATTATCGATCAAAATACTCGGCTTACTGGTAACATTGAGATTGAGAATGTCATCCTCGCTCACAGCATTATCAATTAATTTCCGACTGGTCTCATCCACAACCAGGACTTTCCACTGCACGTCACCACCATTAGTTCCGCGTCTACTAAGAGGAGGGGTCTCGGCACACCTCATTCCCTGCCGTATACCGGATTGTATTGAGAATAACTATACGACACAGTTTAGTTAGTACAAGAAATGAGTGATTAGTTGAATATATCAAATATGGAAAGACTCACTTTCGCGTTGAATATTGAGTATAGAGGAGTTCATCTTGGCTGGCCGGCAGCCCTCTAGCTGTAGGTTAGTTTGATGTCGCGCACTTGAGATCAATAAGACTACAGCCTAAGAGCAGCTGGTTTGGGGAGAACAATAAGGAGAAGCAGGCGACAGGTAAGAGAGTCCAATCAGGGGGTGGAGGGGTTGGGAATGGAAGTGAGTTCTCTCTTTATGAAACGTAACTGTTACTAGAGACCCTCTCCCAAGTGTCCCCACCATTTAATCCATCATAGATTGCGGCGGATCGGCAGCATTCATGCGGTGTGGCGCCGGCACGCTTTCGGCCTTCCCTTATCGGGATATTATCCCTGCTGCTTTAACAGTGACAGTGGGTGCTAACGGTGCCGGACTATGACCAAGGCGCGATTATGACTAAGGCGGCAGTGGCTACATACTAAAACTAGAAGATAAGTCTTCATTTGGTTGAATACACTCAATTTGCCGATGTCATTGGTACTCTTTCAAAATGATATTTTAAAATTTTCAGCCCAACCTGTCGTCTGTCGTTAGATGCATTGCACGAGTTTGGTCGCAGGTTCCCCTGCTAGCTCCATGCACCATTATATGCAGCTTTTCCGCGTTACAAAATCTGCAACAACTTAATTCTTTCTTCGCGAATCGTCCTCGGCGCCTTTCGAACGCGCTACCTATTTGGAACCCGCCTACTCGCTTAAGGAATGCAGTCATGGGCGAGTAGAGGCAGCCATTGCCTGTCATGCGCTATACGACCCTTTTTTCGTTTAGAGATACGAACATTTTCCACCACATCAGCGCTTCAGAGGTCGAAACGGTTGCAAAAGTCAAAGAAAGCACAAGAGGCCACACAGACGAAGCCTGACAAAGTATTTTTCCCGTTGGCTCCTTTTTGATGATTTGTGTACTAATAGTTTATCTTCCTGAGTAGTCTCCAGCTAGACCTTCCCTCCGTTCAGCTACGAGGAATTCAAGGCAGAATGTCACCGCACCCGACTTCTCAATTATCGTGGCGAACCTGCTGAAGGAACTCAAGAAGGAATTATCACAGAGCTCTGAGTCGGCGTTGGATGGATGGCAGAGATTTGAGCGATATGTGATGAACGCATGCAAGTTGGAGGACCGAGCAACTAGTGGAGGTTTCGGTACTCTACGGCAAGTGAAGACCACACTACAAAAGACGTACATTCAATCTGGCGTTCGAGGTCTAAAGAATGAGTTGGAGTATCTCCTATACGCTGAGGATGTCACTTCGAAATACTCGACGCCCAACCTAGAACAGCAGAAGAAAGTGGCGGATATGCGTTTTCCAGCAGAGTGGTATCCACAAGCGCGATCTATACAGCGGACAATACATCTGCACGTTGGGCCAACGAACTCGGGGAAAACATATCAGGCACTAAAAAAGCTCGAGGCTAGTAAAAGCGGCTTCTATGCTGGGCCACTAAGACTACTTGCGCAGGAGGTATACCATCGATTTCAGGCCAATGGAACCACGTGCAGTCTGGTCACTGGCGATGACGTCAAAATCCCAGAGGGCCAAGTCCCGACTATTGTTAGCAATACAGTTGAGATGGTCAATCTAGGGCAACCGTATGATGTAGGGGTCATTGATGAAATTCAAATGATTGGGGACTCCAAACGCGGATGGGCCTGGACTCGTGCTGTACTTGGCGCACGTGCCAAGGAGCTTCATCTCTGTGGTGAGCCAAGGGTTGTACCTCTGATACGAGAGCTAGCAGCTCTTACGGGAGATAAGCTCGAAATCCACCGATATGAGCGACTAAACCCTCTAAAGGTTATGGACCGAAGCCTGAGGGGCGACCTAAAGAGCTTGCAAAAGGGAGATTGCTTGGTCGCCTTTTCTCGTGTCGGAATTCATGCACTTAAAGCAGATATTGAAAAGGTCACTGGGAAGCGGGCGGCAATTGTGTATGGAAGCTTGCCAGCTGAAATTCGGACTCAGCAAGCCAGTCTTTTCAATGATCCAAATAACGAATACGATTATCTGGTCGCTAGTGATGCCATTGGTATGGGTCTAAATTTGTAAGTCTGCTGTTGTTCTACCATTCTACCATATATCCTAATCCATCTTTCTACAGGAGTTGCAAACGTATCATTTTCGAAACTCTTGTGAAGAGGGTGCCAGGCGGTCTTGTGAGGCTTTCCGTACCTGAAATCAAACAGATCGCAGGACGCGCTGGTCGTTACCGGTCGGCCGCTCAACAGCAGAAAAAAGGAAAACATGCTGAAAATGACGGGACAAATGTCGGTTATGTAACATCCCTGGAAGAGGTGGATCTTCCCTACATTCACCAGGCCATGGGAATCGAGCCCCCTCCAATCACTGCGGCTGGTGTGTTCCCTCCGGAGCCTATTTTCCAGAGGTTTGCTGCCTACTTCCCTCAGAGCATTCCGCTGGAATATATCATTAAACGTCTTATTGATGTTTCTCAAGTCCATCCTTTGTTCTTCATGTGCGACCCCCGGGGTCAGTTGGATAACGCTGAGGTTATAGATACTGTGAGTGGCTTGCGATTTGAAGACCAAATGACCTTTATGGCTGCGCCCATGCATACCCGGGACATCTCCTCGCGCGATGTTGCCTGTGCATTTGCGCAATGTGTCGCGGAGCACACAGGTGGTCGCTTGCTCGACATACCAGACTTGAATTTGGAGATTCTAGAAGAGCCCGTGTCTGGAAACAAGGAATATTTGCACGACTTGGAGATATTGCACAAATCTGTGATCTTGTACTCGTGGCTCAGTTTTCGATTCGGTGGAGTTTTCACAGACCGAACCCTTGCCGCCCACGTGAAGGAGCTAGTCGAAGAGAGAATGGTTAGGGCACTGACTGAGTTCTCTGCTAATAAGAAGCTGAGAAAGGACGCATCACTTCGTCGCCAGATCGCTTTGCAGAAGCAGATCCAGGACCATAAACGGTTGCTTGCTGAAGCAGATCTTGACGTTCTCGAAGAAGAGGGCGAAGAAACGGTTCCAATTGATCTCTCAGCTGACAACGACTCTCTAGAAAGGGTCAGTCCGGAGGCACAGGCTGCTTAGGATCTAATGCCTTTCGTATATCTCTTCTGTGGATTTCATTGGAACAAATCGGCATCTTCTCCACTCACTTCGCCCTAGTCGTCGCGATGGTAGCGAGAACGATACAAGTCAAACTTCACTCTATCCAGTTGAAGTTTGGCATTTAAAACTCTTAGAGGTCCGAAAAATAATCGGAGACTGCTGTTGTTTGGACGATAAGAATTAGGGGTTAATGTACCATACATATGTAAATTAGCTGTATATTATATCAGTGTATAGATCTACGTCTGGACGATTGAAGGTAAATATACTGTTCGGTACTTTTTGCTGCCTGACATGGCCCAGCTTTGAATCTAATTCTATTTCCACAGCATAAGGCAACTATTTCAAAATGACCTAATTCTGGTGTATCTTTTACTCCATGTATTTACCCGATCATCGCAGCAAATACTTACATGGTCGGCTCATATATATGTTAGTACTATAACCAACTTTGCTTCATTAAATTCCCCAGGTATTCAAGCAGTTCGACTTGACTTTGCTCCCAACTTGCCCCGATTTAGTGAGCCAAACAATCCTGAATTTCTGACAGTCTTTCTATTGTTATAGAAATTCAATAAAAGTATATGAATGGGTTAGTAGTAAATCCTGCACATAGTACGGAGTACATACATGAGGTTGGCTTATCTTATCAGTGGCGAGTGGTCCGCAATACGCCAGAACGATTTTCCGCGACAGTGAGCTTTCCCGATTCAAGCATTCAAAGATTGGCGAATCGCAACCTACAGACCAGAGAGGTGCGTGGCACACTCTTCGGCGGATAATTCACATATTCAAAAATTTACTTGGTTGGTTTTGATTGTCCACTGACTTGCGATCACTTTCGAAGCGCCAGTCATGGATGACCTCCAGTCTCTGGAGCTCTTTTCGCTCGTTTCGCGAATCACGAGCGAACTCCAGAACCACTTGGGCATTAATGACAAGACATTAGCGGAGTTCGTGATTGACCAGCATCTGAAATGCGGTTCGTTTTCGAAATTCAAGGAGTCCCTAGACGAGATGGGCGCGGAGTTCCCTCAGAGTTTGATGGAGAGTATTGACCGTCTAGTGCTCACTATGCACCCAAAATACAAGACGAAGAAGACGGATGGCGCCGACAAAGCAGAAGGGAATGACGATATGGATTTACTTGATGCACTCGAAAAAAAAGGCGCGCGTATTCAAAGGTCTAGCTGTTCCGGACAAAGCACCGCAGTGGGATGAAGACGACTATACGGATAGGAAAAATGCGGACGAAGGCGATGCCAAGGCCGATGCAATGGATGATACATTTGCGATGCTTGAAGGGCTAGCAGGAAAGGCTCGAGAAGAGAAGGGTCGCACAACAGGGGAGGACCGGAGTAGCAGGAAACGAAGCAGAAGCCCTGGTTATGAGGACTACGATCGTGGACGTCGGCGCAAGGACAAATATCGATCCCGCTCGAGGTCATATAGCCCCCCTCATCGCAAGAGAGATGACGACGTCGACGAATTCGGCCGTACGCGAAGCAAGTATTCCAGTCGGGATGAATATCGCGATGGCCACAGCGAGCGGCGGCGACGTCGGGATGACAGGGGCCAAGACGACCATTTTCGGAAACCACCCCCAATTGAGTTGGATGATGCCCCGATACTGTACAAGGTCTACGATGGACGTGTCACTGGTGTGAAGGATTTCGGAGCCTTCGTGAATCTCTTGGGCGTCAAAGGCAAGGTGGATGGCCTGGTACACGTCTCTGCGATGCAAGAAGGAGCGCGAGTAAATCACCCTTCGGATCTGGTCTCTAGAGGGCAGCCGGTCAAAGTCAAGGTTATCAGTATACAAGGATCTCGCATTGGACTTTCGATGAAGGAAGTTGACCAAGTGACTGGGCTTGATCTTATCCCACAACGCCGACTGGCATCTGGCGCCAATATGGAGCGGCTTGACGGGACCTCAGCAAATGAGCGATATGGCAACTTGAGCTCGGAAGT